ACACTAACACTTAACAACAAAGTATGGTAACAAAGAAAATGTAGAATCAATAGTAAATACAATTCTCTAATTATAATTATTTTATTTCAACCAAAATGTTGATATTTAAGCTTATTCCTAATTTTAGGAACCGGAAAGATAATATGAAAATGTAATAAAATTTGTATGAAAACCAGACAAGTAAATACTATGGGAATTAATCTATAAAACTGACAGAGCAGAACACAAGAGCCAAGCCAGAACAATGCCCATTCACAAATTTATAAAGAACAAAAATTCTAAATTGTGAAAAGCCCAAAAAAGCCCATGAAAGTACTGATGTATAATACTCAATTTAAATGTGTGTATTATACACATTTAAATTGAGTATATGTGTAGAATACCAGGTATTATACCCATTCAAAATGAAACATTTTCACATAATGGTATCGGTTATACAGGTTAGGGAGTGGAGCGCCAGTAATTATTTACTAATGTAAATGCTCTATAACCAAGTCCAGGCATGTAAGCAGGGTTTTTTTTTAAATATGGAGGCATTTTCTTATGGAATCAGTTGCCCTGGTGGGGTCCAAGAGAAGAGTAGTGAAGTCCCTGGAGCTGAACCAATCCACCATGTAAATAGTAATTTTGAAGGGTTTTGATGTGAAACAAGGAGATGGTTCCATTCATCAGAGTGAGTTGGCTAAAAAAAAAAAATCACAAAACCTCCTCTTCCTACTGGTTACATCCCTGAAAGTCTTGGAGACTGAGGAGCTGAACATGTTGGGGTCATTGATGCTCTTTTATGAGGTTTGCAAGTATTGAATCCGGAACCTTATAAGATTATAATATGCACTTTAACTAGCAAACCATTTCACTCTCTTATATTGTATAAATTTGTAGATGGAGGATTTCAAAAAGGGGGCACAAGGAGATACCTATTTTGGGATTTACTTTCATGAGAACAGTCTGGAAATACCTTGTGCCTTCTCTGGGCCTGCCAAATACATTTAATACACAAATAATATTCAGAATAAAGCAAACAAGCCACCAAAAACAAAATCATCCAGTGCATTCATGCATGGAATTTAATTTTAAATGCTCTACTAAAAAAGCAACAACAATCATCAAAATAACATTTTATCATTTGAAATCATATGAAGAAAAGATCACTCACTTGTCAACGGTAATGAGATGTCTATGATAAAGGAGAAATACACAATTCATACAATACATTAAATTCTGAAACAAAATGTGTAACTCCAAAATGACTACTATACATACATTAATAGCAATAATATTATCAAACAGATTTTGGGTAATGAGAAAGAGAATCCTTATAACATTTTATATACTTATATCTAAGATTATTATTGAAAAGAATATTTAACATTATTATTAAAAAGAATGAAAACTTGATTTGAAATTTCAGTTTGTAACATAATCACAGGCATAGGCTGGGGCTGCTAGGGGTGCGGATGAACCCTCCTACGGTGGCAAATTCATTAACTAATTGGGTTTTAATAGTAAAAATAACTTAGTTTTCATTGGAATAGGTATAATGTACCACAATCTCAATTTTTCAACCCCCAAGCCAAACCAGCCTACACCCTTATATACATATCACCACTTATCACATTTTTGAATCTGGAAAATTTATACGAGAAGCTATATCAGATTGGAGGTCCATGAACATTGCCAAAGCATCAACACTACAGAACCCCAAAACAAAGCCATGTGCTTTGAGTTTACAATGGTAAATTAAACACTAAACAATTACTAATGAAACAGCAGTTGAGATTTCTACTCACTAGACGAATATTCAACTTTCCACCAGTCGGCCACGGTTAAATTCAGCACGATAAAAATCAATCCGACAAATATTGAACCTAAGAGGGCAACTCGCAGACAAAGCGACATTCGCCGCTGAGATTTTGTCTTCTCAACTAAGAGAAGTTCGTTTGGATCGTAGTCCACCGCTGAATCCATATTTGGCGCAAAAACTCTCAAAAATCAGGCCAGGCTACTAATCTATGGGAAAATCAATAGAACTGAGAGCTGGCTGTCAACAGTGCAACTCAGCTTACTGTTGTAAAGTGATCTGCAGCATGTTATCAATGATGAACCGGTATTCCAAACCCGTGTCATGTGACAGCAGGTAAGTATTACGACATGGACCAATGGATTTGTTAATTCAAAGATCTACTGATCAAGTTAAACACATTCTAAGTATTATAATCTTGGAATGCTGGACTTTGTCTTGGTAAACAAGGAATGTAGAACAATTTGCATACATATACTTCTAGTTAATTAAATACTCTTTATGATGATTAAACATCCCTTAAAGTAAAAATGGTATGTCCTGTTCTACATGGCTGGGCACAGCAATGGACTAATCTATTTACATACAGAGAGGGTTTTAAACAACAACACTTGTGGGAATTACACAATACAGTAGTTTGCTGCATTTTCATAAAATGTAAATTAGAGATGATGAGAAAATGGTATGGTTATGTATGGTATATAGAATTTGAACACATCAATGATGGTTGTGATGAAGAAGATGACAACATCAATTATGATGATAACTATGATGATCTTACTGAAAACTATACTTATTTAAATTTCATAATGGATATAAAGTCACAAATATTACTTCCGAATTCTATTTATACTATTTATATTTATTTATTTTCTATTTATATTATATATATATATATATATATATCTTAATTATATAGTATGTTTAAAAATCTGATGTGATTTCATATATTTCATGTAAATTTCATTTACATCTCACAGAAATAAGCAGATACAAATATGAAACGATTACATACGTTATCATAATCGTTTCATTTTTGTATCTGCTTATATTAATATATCAGTTATGTGCTTATATTAAGTAGATACCTTAGATACTCTTTACTGCAGTAACTAGCTTTTGCATTGAGTACATACATCAAAATACCTCTTTTTCAATTATCGTAATGGTAGTTTCCTAAAAGCCTTTGACAATTAATGTTGCCATTATTTCTACATATTACTTTAAATCTTGCATACCTTTTTTTAATCTCCAGTCTTTGATTTATTCACATATTGCCTTACCTTGAGCCATATACCATAATTACACCAATATCCTCAAAACTTTATTTAATGTTTACATTCATCATTTAATACTCTTCAATACTAAAGCTCTGTTCACATTATCAAATTGTCTGTTGTATGCCTATATATGGTCATGATGTGCCTATATATGGTCATGATGTGATGTCATCATGACCATATTTAGGCATGTCACATGTTTTTGTCAAATAAAATTTGATAGTCTGGACAGGACTTAAGAGTAATTATATATTTATAGACTTACTAAAAAACGTATTTCTTACTAACAAATGAAATCTAACAGTTGGAAATTAAGCAACTGAAGCAATAATTTTGTGCCAAAATTATAATAATATTAATAATAATATTATTAACATAATAATATTAAATAATGTTTTATATACCGCATAATGCCAATGCATTCCATATTATTCCCTCAGGCCATTTAATCAAACACAAATGGAGCAAGTACTCAGCTCCCTGGGGAGTAGTCCACAACGTCGTTGCAGCTAGGCAGCTAGTAATCAGCGCTTAGGCATTCAAGTCTACAAGGTACCATTTACACTCCTGGGTAGAATGGGACATTCAAAAAGGATAAAGTGTTTGCCCAAAGATATAAACAATTACAGACTACCAAATGACATTATTATGCATCCTACTGGAACCTACTGTAATGACTTGAATATTAATTTGCATAACTTCATTAATTGTGGCAGCTAATTAGCTATTTGTGAGTACACTTTCCAAAGTAAACAATCTAAACTTGCAAAGTAAAACCTAGAAATGTCAATTAGAATGTTAAATTAATCGCAGTTAAATCTAGATAGTGTTACCATACTCATTACAGTCTTATAAGAAAGTGTGTGTATTGATTACCATATAATTAAGTGATAATTCATATTCATCATCAAATTTATAATGAATAATTAAGCACATGAGGGATATGATATGAGAATGCATGAATGTCTAAATGAAATGACAAGATAAAATGCAACTCACATCACATCACGTTTCTTGAAGCAGTAATGTAAACATCGCGTATAATACTCAATCAATGACAAATTTACTGTCCCAAGAAGATCATGATGTTTCTACGGTAACAGTGCAGTTAATGAATTTGAAAAGTTGGCCAATTTCATCTGTCAGACTCTAAATTAATTTTTGATTAGATTTCATATAGGCCTAATGCTTGTACCAGATATACCTGATCAAACAATCTGCTTCATCAGACAAAGTCTTAGCAAACTTTTATTCATGTCTAATGTATCAAGAATCAAATATTTGATGGAAGTTTGACAATGAGTTCCACTTCATCAAACAAAGTCTGAGTAACCCTTTTATTAAACCTTAGACAAACATTTAATAGTGCCCAGCGCAATTAAGAATCCTCATTCATGTCTAACAATAATTATTATCTCAAGAAGTAGATGAAGAAAGTAATTTGGCCTGCTACATAAAACTCAAAACATGCGTTCATGCATCGACCTGCCATGACTCGTCTAATAGCTCAACATTCCATACTGTAGATAATTTGCCATAATAGCGAATGATGTCATTGATGTATGCTAAACTGGAATTGCATTTCATTTCATCATCACCAAGATGATTTCATTTGTTTCATCATCATCATACACAAACAAAACAGAAAAGCAGCAGATCATATTATCATCCTGGTAAGATTTAGCAAATAACAAATAACAAAAAAAAAAAAAAAACATTCAATGGTTCTTAAAGCTTGAAATTATATTTTCAGGCTAGAATCATATTCCAAAAACATAGTTTTTTTTTAATAATGTAGAGAAAAATTAAAAGGTTATTTGGTATATCTTTTAAATCATAACATGTACTTTCAGACAGCTGGATGCGTTTCAATTAGCATTCCAGTTTCATCACCCTTAGCATAAAAAGTAATATCAACAAGTAGTAGTTATTAATAAAAAATAGTTAATTAAATAGGAAATGTTGCACCTCTATGCTAATTTGCAATATATGTTTATTTGGTCAGGGGGATATTAAAAGGATACCCACATCTTGTGTCTGGGGCCCAGCCCATGGTGTCCTCTTGTGGCCTCTCCAGCCATTTTCTGATGTTAATCCGTGCCAAATATAATAAATAAATAATTACATATGAAATGCTCCTTAAATTTTTTCAATTTTAAATGCTTAAGCACTAAAATAAAAAAAAGACAATATACCACTTTCTTTTTTTATATTTATACATTGTTTTGAATCCTCTTTTGGTTGATGTAAAGTGCACAGAGGCAGTTTATGTAATATGCGCTATGTAAATGGCAACTTATTATTATTATTACTAATATTATTATTATTATTATTATTAATTGAAAATGGTGCTCACTCCAAGAAAATGAAAAGTAGTAAATTGGTGAAGCTGATGAGCGTTTAATGCATAATTGATGTGCATTTGATGCACCAAGCAAGAGTATTTTTTTTCTTCTTCATTATCAAAAATAGGACATGTCCAAACGAGTTGAGGTTTTTCTTCATTATGTAATGGATTCCTTATAGCAAGACACACTTAATAGCACTAATGAAATTAGAACTTGCCAATTTATTAAATATGTGTGGGAGAAGCCGTTAGTGATGAAACTGCTACAAAGGAGCCTATTAAATTTTATACGGGATTATGTATATTTTGAGGAAGGGCTTTTGGAGACTGGGATATAATCAATTTTAAGAAGCAGTTAGGGGTTTTTGTTACATTAGTTTTAGATGTACATATAGTATATGAAAGAACCAACCTGTATGAAAGAACCAACCTGTGTGAAATAAGCCATGTTACATTTTTGGAAGGGCCATACCAAATTTGTATGACGGAAAGCTAATTTTTTAGGTGAGTAGGTTATAATACATTTGATATCTTTCTTGAATAGTGCCACTTAAGCAATAGTGCTTAAAGTAATAGTTGATCGAATAGCACTATATTGAAATGAAATTATTAATTGATCGATTGATTAATTGATTAATTGGTTTATTGATTAATTGACTGATTAATTGATTGATTGATTGATTGATTGAGGATAGACTATGCTAATTCTAAGGAGAGGTTATAATAATATAACGTAAAGGATGATGCTATGACCATAGGGAAGAGCCTGTATGGGAGAGGCTTGTAAGGGGTACCTATGTGGGAGGTGCTTATTTGGGAGGAGTCATGTCAAACATGAGGAGGGGGCTATGTTAACTTAGTGAGAAAAAAAGCTACATTATAATTTGTATGTATATTACGTTTTAGTGGGAATAGTACCACTACATTTGTGGGTACTATAACAGATTAGTATGCGAGTTCCTATCTTGTATATCGAGGGTCATACAGTAACAATGATATAATGTGCCCATTATTACAGGTTTTTGGGGATGTTACTTGTCATTCAATAATAAAAGATATCAATTTTCAATTCCAATCTTACAAAAATCATAAAAATTGAATAAACAATTATGATATATGTATTTCCAAAAATAGAAACTGACATCATCAGGCAGGGAATAAAAATACTGACATTTAGTAAAACATAATGTGCCCCAGGATAGCCATCAATTACGCAAGTCTGTTAGTGTGATGAATGTATGTGTTAAAAACAAAGCCAGAGTCGACTAATGGAGGTTATGACAGTATTTAAGTCCTGAAGACAAATGATTGATGGGCACATAGTGTTGAGAAAACGCAAGGCAATTGTAAGAATTCGGAGGTGTATGCTCAAAATCACAATCACATAAAAAACCAGACAGAAATAACTACATACATTATGATTCTGTAATGAATTTATCTGTTCATCCAAGGCCACAAAAAGATTATAACAGATCAACTGTTGAATGCAACATAAAACCTCCAATTGCAACAGGAATTGTTTTAAAACTAAAGTAACAGCAATCCCTTTAATTTGTGACATGATTGACAATGGCTCATAGAGGGCGCCCTACAGAATTACAGGAAGACAACTGTTAAGCAAAATTTGATATTACTGAATAAACTGTCTATAGTGTATGTTAATCATCAGACATAATTCATTATCAATTTCAAGAAAGATTTGAAACAGAAATGATTGGATATGGCAGTTAATACAAAACCTAGCCACATGATCAGATTAAAAAAAAGTATGAAGGCAGCAGGTGATGGAGGAGAGAGGTTTATAAAATATAATCTGAGTTAGCTCATCAAAGTAATAATTGCGAAAGAAATTAATTTAGAACATAATTAAGACCCTGATGCATAAAAGAGCTACTGTAATAGTCAATACTTTGTTTCTGTAAAGTCATTGTTGTTTCACTCCTGTTAACAAATTACAGTAGTTGATACAAACACAGAGAATTTGTATTTGCTGATCAAATTAGCTTTAATTTAATAATAGCGTATGAAACTAACTGCAAAGAATGTAATGCAAAGCGTGACCTAATTTTTCAAAAAAAGTCCTGGGGAAATGAAGATGAAAACATTTCATGTACTGTACTCTTTCTTGCGTCAAATTTATCTGTGGACTCCCCTCTCTATAAGTAAATTTTGAAAGTTAAACATAAGTTTTTAAAGAAATTTTTGAAATTAATATAATAAGTATTCCAATTTCAGCAGAAATCTGAAATTAAACATTCTTATTAGAAGGCCAAATAGACCAATAGTAATTAGCCGTCAGCACAGGCTCTAACATATATTATAGATACGCACTTACTGACTAAATAGCAAAACACATGAAATTTAAGAAGTGTTTGAAGACATTAGGCTATATAATTACGGTATGCTGTTAAAAAAATCCATCAAATCCATCAAAATGCAGAAAAAAGAAAACAGCAGTCAACAACAACTTAATTTAAATAATCTACACTTAAAATCATATCCTGAATCGCAAATTCAGAGAATTAGAGAAATTGAAACAAAAATCTAACTTTTGAGACTCGCATTTCCTGTCCTCGACGACCACACATGGTTAGCTGCAGTTCTCACCTACATCATGTGATGTATTCAAAAACAGATGTTATCTACAAACATCTGCACATTGTCATTTCCAATTCATCAAAATTCTGGTGATCATCACACTTATCGCTAAATGACATTAATATTTCTTTGTGTAATGGACGTTATGAATCATAAATGCCAAGTCTACAACTGACAGAATGCTTAAGGTACTCGCCTCTATTAAATATTAAATCACCGATTCGATAATATATGGGAAAGAAATGTAGTTTTCAATTATCTAAATTCCTGATAAATTGGTATACTTAACATTTCAATCTGTTCACTCAAAATCAAAATAATTAATTAAAAAGTACATTGTGTCCAAAGAGATTCTTTTTAATGTTAGAAGGCAAATTAACCCACCAGACTGATTGGTCACGGTAAATCAACTTTACGTAGAGCAATGTACACGCACCAATCAGAATTCTTCCAAGCTCCACATTGTCTGTTACCCTAAATAACGGTTATTGTAACGTCTCAAAATTTGAGGGCAATAAACAGTCAGGTAGATAATGTGAGTCGATGAGGCAAGCATAAGAGCTGTGGATTCCAGAAGGTGATTTGCAAAGATTGAGATCAAAAGATGCAATTTTCTTAAAGTTTCTCAAAAATAGAAAATTGTTTAAATGAATAGATGCTCTACATCTATTCTCTTTACTCTTATTAGATTTGAAACAATGATAATAAAATAATAACAATTATATCATACATCATTTTACAATAGAAAAATAGATGATAGTAAGTATCTTGAAATGTGGTATTTATAACAACTTTTATTCAAAACTATAGTTTAACTGAATTGTGAAATATAAGAATATACTATAAGATAAGAATATAGACATCACTTATTATGCCTAAGTATTCCAGAGAGGGATTACCAACTGTGGAACATACACCAGGTTGACAGCAAGTTATTTTTATGAGTGAAAACACAAAATCCATGGAGTAGAACAAATCCCACTTTAAAAATAAAAATTTTTAAAGATAAAAATCAAAAAATAAATAGAGAGAACTATTAAAAAAAGAAATATATGAATTCCATCATTTGAGTGACAGATCACACTTGATAAAAACATCACTTGGAAGATGAACCAGGATTGTTGGCATGCAGGAAATAACCACGTACAAATCCAACACATGTAAAATACATCAATAGCCAGATTGAAGACGCTGTGTGTCACATCTCATCTCCATCTAAACTTCTATTCAAAAAATACAATTATATCTATTGTATTCTGTTTTACTAAACTTTTGCTCTTTCGTTTAAAGTGTTAACTGCGGTTATTTATGAAGACAAGAATCATAGTTGTATTTTGTAGGATACTTACTCATAAAGAGCTTGTTCGAAATTGGCGGGTCGACTCCATTATCTGCGATGCACTCGTAATTGCCTTCGTGCAACTCTTTGGAAACAGACTTGATTCTCAGTCTATTCTTTCCTCTGCAAGAAAAAAGCAC